GAGGGGTGTCATAGTGAATCCTCCCTCTTCCCGACAACTTAGAAGCCGCCCTCCTGTCCCCTGAAGACTGAGTGGACCAGTGAAAGCACATGGGTGCCAAGTCACAGTACGACTGATGTATGGGTTAAAGAGGAAAGCTCACACGCCTGCTCAGGGCCGCAGCTCCCTACAGTGAGGTCCCTCTCCCCCCCTGGAAAAGCAGCGAAGGGGGAAACAATATGTTATGACACCCTTTTAATGCTTCTATCCAGATTTAAAAGGCTTGCTCCCAGAAGTCTCTGCTGCAAAGTGGGACTGGGGGAGTTTGTGGAGTCCACCAATTCAGTTAGCTCTGGATACCTCAAAAAGAAAAAGATACATCTTTTTTTTTCTTTTAAATCAAATGAAAGATCAGGTGAAGTTCATTTAGCTTTTTCCTGAATCAGAACTGAGTCCCAGTTATTCACCCTGCAGCCTTTCATAGATTAGAAAGTTATAAAGACACCTAAGGCAGCATGGCTTGGCTCCTAGCAGGCTCTCAGTAAAAGGTGTTAACTGAGTGAAGAGAGAAACAGTCCAAAGCAGGCAGTCTTTCCAAACTGGAACACTGCGGAGCTGAAAGCTGCCTTCCCCCATCCAGTGTAAGAGAACTCTCTCCCTCCACATCCTGGGCAGCCCAGGGTGTCAGAAAATCCTTTTGTTTCTGAGCTCAAATATGCTCTGCAAAATTCTACTTATTGTTCTGAGCTCTGCCATCTGGGGCAAAAGTCCCTGCTGACCTAGCCCGAGTCCAGTCTTTCCTTATTTAAAGACCAGGGCCCCAGCCCCTCTGGTCATTCATATTCCAGGATAACTACCCCGCAGGTGCTATAACACTTCTCTGAAAGCTTCTCCAACCCACTCTGGACACGCCCCTCCTCCTCATGATTGGTCTTGCCCCTTAAAGCCACGGTGTGTTGTGTTCTGACCAGCTCCATGGGCACTGGAGCTCAGGTGGCAACACCACCTCCTCTACCGGGGAATCCAAGGAATGCCACTCAGACAGCGCTCTCTGTCTGGGCCCTTCCGTGACCCCAGCATTCAGCTCAAAGGCACCTTTTCCTCCGTCATCTGTTCTTTCCATGAACTAGGCTTAGGTCTCCTTCCTTACTAGCTCAGTCCAGAGTGCCTGGGGTCTGCCACAATCTCTGGGGTGCCCGATCCTGTTTGTTACCCATTCAACTCCATGCAGCATAACAAAAGCACAGACGGTCACACGCCAGGTCCTAGTGGGGTACAATGAGAGAGAGGCTAACCCCAGCAGGCTGTGTCAGTCACCTTTACAAGGCCATTCAGAGCATCTAATGCGTGTGTGGCTCTGGACTCAGCCTTTGGACCAAAGACAAAAGGCCTGACAGGTCACTGAGCAGCCCTGCCCCGAGCCTTCTGCAAAGCTGATGGCATGTCTTACAAGCTACCACGTGCCAGGTAGACAGTGAAAGCTTTACATGTGTCATCTATCAGGTGTCCTCACAATATCCTCACGGGGTACCTATCAGTACCCCATTTTATAGGCGAGGGAACTGGGGCTCTGAGAGGCCACACCGCTAGGATGTGGTCAGGTCCACTTGATTCCAAAGCCCATGCCCCGGCCTGCCTCTAGCACCACCTGCCGTGCCCCACACGACGCTGCCCAGATCAGGCTGAAGCCCTCCCAGAGAACCCCCTGGGGGCTCACTCAGGACCCGGGCCCAGCAGCCATGAAAGCACCTGAATGCTCTGTTATTCAGCACTTATTTTTCAACTCTCTCCATAAAACCTTGCTTCATGCTTTTCAAAACCCAAGGACCACTGTCCATAACTGCCCCCTGACTATAGACGGAAAAAAGTCACATTCTGCTGATGTAAATTACACAAAGAAAAAGAGGAGCTAAGAATTTGCTTAAAAAGCTCTTAGGAAACCCAAAAGAGAACATGACAGAATAAAGGAAAAGAGTGAAAATAAAGCCACAAAGGGAATCCCTGGGAGCCAAGTGGTAGCAACGGCACAGACGCTGAGAAACAGGCCTATGGCCCCGTTTAGCCCCACTGCCGCTTTCCCTCACCTGTGCCCGGACAGAGGGCACTTAAAAATAAAGGGGGTGGGGAGAGGCCCTGACTGGTGTAGCTCAGTGGATTGAGTGTGGCCTGCAAACCAAAAGGTCGCTAGTTCGATTCCCAGTCAGGACACATGCCTGGGGTGTGGGCCAGCACCCCAGTGGAGGGGGTACAACAGGCAACCGCACATTGATGCTTCTCTCCCTCTTTTTCTCCTTCCCATCCCTCTGTCTAAGAATAAATAAATAAAACATTTAAATAAATAAATAAATAAATAAATAAATAAATAAATAAATAAGGGGGGCATCCTATATTTAAAGAAAGAGACTGGAATGGAAGTAGAGAAACATAACCCAAAATGATGCCCCACTGAGCACCAATACAAGCTAAATGAAGCCTGTAATGGGGTCCTCACACTGTGCTCTAACCATCTGTGTAACAGTGTGATGGAAAAGCATAGAGCAGGTTTTGAGCACAAACAACCCTGGTTTGTGCCCTGGCCAAGTAGCTCAGTTGGTTAGAGCATCATCCCAGTACGCCAAGGTTGCAGGTTTGATCTCTGGCCAGGGCACACACAAGAAATAACCAATGAATAAATAAATACATGGAACAACAAATTGATACCCCCTCCCTTTCTCTTCCTTCCTCTTTCTCTCTAAAATCAATAAAAAATTTTAAAGACAGAAAAGGCCTGGGCTGGTGTGGCTCAGTGGATTGAGCACTGGCTGGCCTGTGAACCAAAGGGTCGCCAGTTCAATCCCCAGTCAGGGCACAGGCCTGGGTTGTAGGCCAGGTCTCCAGGAGGGGGTGTGCAAGAGGCAACTAGACATTGATGTTCCTCTCCCTCTCTTTCTCCCTCCCTTCCCCTCTGTCTAAAAATAAATAAATAAAATCTTTTAAAAGTATTTAAAAAACAACAAATAAACCTGGCTTAGGAGCCTACCTCTTCCATTTACTAGCTATGCAGTCCCGGGCAACTTGCCTGGGACTTCTGCCTCCTGCTCTGTGTCCTGGAAAACAGAAAACGTGCCTCCTGAGGGGAGGAGCCGTAAAGACCAAGAAAGTGAGCTTAAGTAAAGTGCCTAGCACAGGGGCTGGCACGCATTAGGTGCCTGAACATCTTACCCTTTCCTTCTCTACCTGGCGATGTTTCTTGCTGACTGTAACTTTCTGGAGTGTAGAAACTACATTGCATTAGACACCCCTCCATAGTTACCAGTGCTCAGAACATAACGAAAGCCCAATAAACATGTGTTGGCCTCTTTGCTGGTCCCCATACACCCAAGCATTCTTCCAGGCTGCCCACATGGGACACACCGCCTGCCTCTCTGTGTATCCAGGTCTCACTGAAGAGGCCTTCCCTGAGCACTTTATAGTTCCTTCTATTTATCTTCATGGCACTCTTCACTACCTGGATTATATTTGCTTCTGTTTGTGTTCCCCCACTGGAATGTAAGCTCTATAAGAGCAGGGAGTTTATCTAGCTATATCCCTAGTAAAGTGCCTGACATACAGTAGGTGCCCACGAGCACACATGTTGAAATACTAATCATTGAGCTCCAACAAGGTGCTAGGCACCGGAGATGCAGAAACAAACAAGACAGCCCCTGAGCCCATGGAACTCGCACTTAATGAGCAGAGATAACAAAAACTACTTATTCGATCATAACTAAATGCTAAAGGTAGAATTCAGGTACTGGAGACTGGCTCAGGGGGTCCCTCACCCAGCCAAGGATCAGAGAGGTTTTCTTAAGAGAGGGTAATTTAATCTGAGGTCAGGAGGAAGGAGAGGATCTGGCTGGGGGAAGATGAAGGTGGAGGGGTGGTGAAGACAGAGCAGCCCTGCAGCCCACACACAGGCTTAAGGGAGGGAGGGACTGCCATGCCCACAGGAGCCTCCAGAGGCAGGGAGGGAGAACAAGAGCAAAAATGAGGTCAGATTCAGAAGGGTCTGGTAAGTAGTGAGGGGTTCAAATTAGTCCTACAGCCCATCAACTGATAGGTAAATACAACAGAATACCTTCATACAATGGAATATTATTTCGTAACTGAAAAGAAATGACACATGCTACCACATGGGTGAATCTTAAAAACATTACTCTAAGTGAAAGAAGCGAGTCACAAAGTATCAAATATTGTATGATTCCATTTTTGAGAAATGTGTGGAATAGGCAAATCCATAGACACAAAATAGCTTAGCGCTTACTGGGGCTGGGAGGGATGGGAGATTGGGATGGTCACAGGCAAAGGGCAGGGGGGAGGTTTCTGTGGGGGGGGAGGGTAATGAAAATGTTCTAAAGTTGATTATGGTGCTGGATGATGCTCAAGTGTGTGAATGGACTATAAGATATTCAATCGTGCATTTTAAATGGGTGAACTGTATGCTATGCAAAAGCAAACGAAATAAAACATTAGTCTTAAGGGCTAAGAGATCCCAGCCACCGGGTGACTTAATCTGTTATTTAGAAGCATACATAAAAATGTGAGGGTTACTCCAGGTAAGCTCGCTCACGGAGTGCTCCAGGCATATGGACCATGCAAGGGTCACATCTTGTTAAAATGGGCAAACCGAAGCCGACCACCAACTGTCCGCCAGACAATGAATATTTCACCAGTGGGCCCGGCAGCCGAGCATCGCAGAGGCCTCTAGAGATCCCTGGGCTCCTTGTGGCCCCCCATTGACCTGGGCCTTCTCCACTCCTCCTAGCTGCCCCGGAGAGGCCTGCTACAGGCCTGGAGCAGCCGGGAGTAGCGCTCGGGGGAACCCGGCTCTCCAGAGGCACGTAAAAGGGCCATGAGTTGGACGGATCGCTAGGCCTTCCACGGGCCACGCACACCCGAGGACGCTAGAGGCTTCATATCCCCAGCCCGCCCACCACCCCGGCGAGACCAGGCCCTGCACACCCGCCCGTGCCCCCGCCCTCCGCCGATGCTGCGCGGCTCACCCGCCTCCACTGGGAAACGTCAACCCCGGTCGCGGCGGACGCGAGGCCCCAAGTGCGCCTGCGTCTTCCGGTGTGCGCAGCACCGCCCCCGCCTGGTCACCGTGCGCCGAGCGCCCTCTGTCGGCCGCGCGCGGGACTTGGGGTCTGTTTATAAGGGAACCGAATATGCAGTTCCTTGTGGGTGCCCCTTCCCTAATCGTACCCTATCCAGTTGAAAAAGAAAGCTGTTCTACTGACAGCCTTCTTACGTTAGCATCCACGCTTCCTTCTGGCTGTTGCTACCTCGGATATAAGCCCTGAAGGCAGGCTGTCTCCCATATTCCCGAATATGGATTGCTGCTAAAACACTGGGGGTGTTCAAAATCTGTGAAAAAACTTGCTAGAGGACTTTCCTAAAACACTCGAATTGATGACAGGAATTATATTTGGATGGGAATCTGCATTTTGAGTCATTTCATCAAATTACAGTCTTATAACACCTGTCAAAAGAATAAATATGACAGTAATAGGCATGCTTCCTTTCAGACCCATCTATAATTATAATTGAGGAAAAGAATACAAAATTTAAACTCAGAGCTACTGCCACTATCATTTTTTGAAAATGAAATATGCTGTTTTATTAAATAGGCTCTCCCCGCTCTCTAATGTTTAAAGCTTAAGTGCTTCTCTGAATTGATTTAAATACAAGTTTTATACACTGAAAGAAATAAAGATGAGTCTTTATCTTCAGACAAACCCCCTGTTCAGTGATTCTGCTGATCTCCTCTCAGCTGATGTCTAAAAGGGAGTTAGGTTGTTCGTGGGTAATATTGCTTCTGTTCACGTCTCTCCTCTCTAAGGCTTTTTAAACCTATTTGTAATGAAAAGGCTGATTTCCTTACACAGACAGACTCCGTGTGTAGCTGATTTAGCAAGACAACATTTTTTCTTTCTTCCTTTTTTCAGGGAAAACATTGCTCCCTGGTGCACCTGGGAATCTATTTTTCTCCTTTCTGGATAAGAGAAGCTGGCAGGGAAAGGGGGAGTTAGGTCCCCCCTTCTTTTCCCTTCACTGTCTGTAGAGTTTTCTCTCCTTTTCTTGTTTTACCTCCTCACCTGACACACCAGCCTTCCTCCACATCGGGTGGGAGTTCTGCCCCTGAAACATTCAGATTATTGCCTCCACCCTTGAATTTATTTTCAACATGTATTTTCCATATGGACCAAATATATCTGAAAGATACTATTGAACTTTCATAATAAGCCCTGTTATTTACACATGCATATTCAGGGGCACATCGTTAGTGCAGATTCAATCAATAAATCATTAAGCTTTTAAAGTCCTTACTAGGAACCATCTGCAGTATCAACATCCATTTCTGTTTTCAGCATTAGAATCACTTGATATTTTGAAAAAATGTCACAGTTCATTCTTTGGCCCCATTTCCCTTTTGTTCCAGGATTGCTGTGTTCCCGCATGCGAAACATTGTTGTAACACGACCGGTTGCAACCTTTTTTATCTCATGGCGCACATAAACTAATTACCAAAATCCTGCACCACACCAAAAAGTACATTCTCTTTTTTGCTAATCTGACAGAAAAAAATAGATATAATTTTGATTCATTGACACCGGATGGCTATTGTTTGCTGTTGTTTCTCTTTTTTTCCTTTCTCTCTCTTTTTTCTTTTTGGCCATCTAAGGCAAAAGAGGTCAGTGCCCCTGACTTAATAGTCAGTTATTACACGTTTTAAACATTCTGCGGCACACCGGTTGAAAATAGCTCTTCTAATACCTAGACTTCATAAAATATTCAAGATGCAACCTGTTCGCTTTACCTTGGAAAGACTCCGCCTTCAAATCACATGTGCCTCTTTGTCTTTACAAACACTGGAGAATCTACCTATCTCAAAAACTCTTTATAAACATCTAAACACCAAGGGGGAAAAAAAACCTAAATAGAATAGGCTTGAACAACAATTACCAATTTTTCCAAGTCATAGGGGAAACCTAGATATTTTAAATAATTGGATTATAATATTCTGAGCTTGACATCAGCCTCAGATTCTTACAGCTTCAGTAGTAAAACTAAAGAATTCTTAGTGGTATAAACATTCACTGAAATGGTACCTGGCCCAAAGCCAATGGAAACCCAACCGTTCTTACTACGTTATTTTCTTTTACACTGAAATGTCAGCAGATGAACCCCCTCATGTCAGACAATACAAGATATTTACCAAGAAATAGCATTGAAAGACTTTTTACTGGAGATATCTGCCATCCAAGTCAGCTGTCCCGGGGACATGTTGTCACAGGGGATTTAGTCGGCCTTCGTGAGAAATACACCACCTTCTCTTGATTTCTGGCATTATGTCATTTAACCCAACAACTGCAGGTTTGTAACCAGTAGTTGTAGGAAAAGATACAAGTCCTGACGCTTCTTCCAGTTTAAACCTGCTTTTATATAAGAGAGAGAAGTGATACATTTGCATCCTCTGATTAAATCAGGTTATTGTCTCACGGGTTGACCATGTAAATAATTCAAATTAATTCATCACTGTACAATAGATTTAATAAGCATACTAAACACTTTGAAGAAAACATTTAGGACCCTTGGTCTGCCCTTGCTCTCACTCCCATTATCTCAGATTTCCCTGTGAACAGAATGAGTGGTACCACGTTGTTCTTCTATTCAAAATATGCAAAGTTGCTATTTACCAGTTTGCAATTTGCATGTCTCCAGTCCTGCCACAACACGGCCTGAGGGGCTTGGAGTGACTGGTGTAAGTGCAGAAAGGGGACGAAAGGGGACGCCAGAACGAAAACGGAAAACCCAGTGCACAGATCTTCTCCACCCCGGGGTGCTGCAAAGTATAACCTTCACCAACTACCGAAGATTTATTTTTAAGAAAATGAAAACGTTGGGTCTAAAAGGTCACGCGAACTCTTAGACATCTAGTATCTTGTTTCTTTAATTGCTGGTTTGAAGAAGGGGATGAGCAAGAATTTCAAGGTTTTTCTATAAAAGAGTACAAGAAGGAAAAGGGTACAATTGTGACTATTCACAATATATCCTTGGAAAGCAATTTACAGCCTGGGTTCCTTGTGTTACTTGCTGCAGCTCCATGAATCTAAATGTGTCGACTGGTAAATATACCACATTTCTTGGTGTGTTTGGCAGCAACATGTTGACAGTGGCCACATGTGAGACCACACTGATGATCACATGTATGAATATTAGTCTCCACTTTTTCATTTCTTGCAAATATTCTGCATGTCTCATGATTTCAGATTATAAATAACATGCACACACTTTTTGCATAAATCACCTCTGAAATGGAATTGTCTCTATGAAAAGAAGAAGCAAATGCAAGATTGTGTATGTGATGATGTTATCAAAGGAGCAAATGTGCTTGGGAATATTTTTATTTTTTTGCATTTCAATAGCACTGAGCTGAAGATGCATTTTTAAATTGTTCACAAAGTGTAATTCTGTTTCCTCTGACTACATCTGCAGGGTCTTAAGATAGCCACAAGTAAGAATTAATGCCACTGTTAATAGGAATAGAGACTGTGTGAAACAATGAATTTTATTAAATAGGGTTGTTTGGAGAAAGAGGAGAGATAGAGAGGCACAGAGGGGAAGGTGGGGGAGAGAAAAAGAGAGAGAAAAGAGGGGGGCGGAAAATGAGAAAATGAGAAGGAAGCTACCCTTTTGATTCTCTCCCACTCAGAAAGGCCTGCAAAACTTAGGGAAAGCAGCCCAGAACAAAGGGGCATCATTAATTAAAGGAAACCATTACTCATTTTGGTCAGGAAATGAGGTGTCTGGTCAATCAACTGTGCAGCTAAGAACTCATCAAACATTTGTTGAGACTCCTCCAAGTGCAAAACTCCATGCAAAGCCCTGGGTCATAGCAGAGGCCCCCAGACTCCCCCTCTCCCATTCCCACTCTCGCGCCCTTCTCCACTTTTTGTTAGAGGCAGATCTGACCTTGTCACTCTCTTGAGCCCCCTTAATGGCTTCTCGGTGCTCTCGGAATAGATAACTTTCAACTCCACATGCTACAAGACCCTGCAGAGTCTGGTCTCTTAGGCTTCACTCCATGTCCCTGGTCCCCTGCTGCAGCCAAACTGTCCATTCAGACCCTCAAACGTCCCATGTTCCTTCCACCTGCCCCTCCTCCCAGACAGGAGCTTGTATCTTTCTCCATGGCATGCATCACAATTTGTAGTTCCTGTTGCCTGCATTAGCTTGGGATCCCCCAGAGGAGTGTAAAGCAAGGATTTGAGTGCAAGTAGTTTACTCGGTAGTTGGTGTGAGAAAACACCCAGGAAGGGAACTGAGACAGGGAAGAAAGGGAGCCCATGAAGGCATCTTGCCCATCAAGTTACCACCATGAGCAACTGCGCTTCATCCTGCAGGGAGGCCAATGTGCAACATACCCAGTTCCCCACCCTAGTAGGGTCCTGAAAGCTGGGTATTTACACACCAGTTCCTGTTAGTTACCGGCTGAATGCTGCTCTCTGGGGTCCTCTCCTCCCCACCCCAGTACTGACTCTGCCCTTCCATACTCTCAGGTAAAGAGATGCAGAGGCTGGCAGTTGTTAAGTTAGCCGAGTGTATACAGTGGTAAGCCTCAAGGCACTGTGGGGACGGTTCTGGTAGTTACATACATACGTGCATTTATTGTGTATTTATGCTTGCATGTTTAATTTCAGTCACCTTCAAAGTACTCTCCATTTGATGTAGTACACCTGTTGAGACCTTTTCCCACAGCTCAACAGAGTTTTTGAACTGATCAATTTTGATGCCTCTTAGTGCTTCTGCTATTTTTTTTGTTTCACCTCTTCCATGTTGGCAAAATGCTTCCCTATGAGGACTTTTTTCATCCCGGGAAGCAAAAACAAGTCATTCAGGGCAAGAGTGGGTGACTAAGAAAGGTGAGACACTGGGGTCATGCTGTTTTTTGGTCAAAAACTGCTGAACACGCAGCATGTTGTGGGCAGGTGCGCTTATAAATCACTCATCATGAAGTGGGCAAACACAGTGAAAGAGTCTTTGAAAATAAGTCACTGAAGCCAAACAAACACGGCCTCTC